ACTTGGAGTCAGCTCTACAGAATACTGTAGAATTCACCCATCAACATCCAATCAGTATTCAAGTGAACTGATTTACTAAAGGCTAATAGGCGTTTCACTTTGTATTCTGCACTCTGGGAATCTTTTCCAGAGTTTAATGAATGTGCTGCAATTTCACTTCACAAAGAATACACAAACATATGCAAGGAAATTTTTTTAAAAAAAATCAGTATTTTTGCTTGCACATTATTGGATGATGGAAGATAGCAAACCTCACCTCATTCACTAAGCTCTGGAGAACATTCCCATGCAAAGTGGTACTTCCCTATCTGTCTTTGGTAAATAGGAAACCCAATGTGCTCCAGAACTGACTGCAGCAAACTTAGATCTGTCTACTAGGTGCCATTGCGCTTTGTCTTTGTTCGCCTAGGCCTTTTGCATTTGCTGTTTGCATAGCGTAATGCATATTTATTCATTATGCCATAATATGCATGCAGGGATAATCCTAGGTTCACATCTGTGCGGATGGTGCCGCTGCGGCTTCACATGAAAATCTGTGCAGCCGCATCACCCGCACAGAGAAATGCGGACCCACAGCCGGGTGCCATTAATGCTAATGGCACACTGTCCGCACTGGAAAATGCAACCATACCCAGATCCACCCTGACACATATAAAATGCATTTATACAGTAAGGTCCAGAGATAAAAATAACAGCATACAACACTTTACAATTTTAGGTAATCATTTGTAAATTGTGGGGTTTGATTTGTTATGGGAAGACCCTGAAACCTGGTCCCGAAAATGTAACTGTTAAACTAAAAAGTGTCATGCACAGTACTTAGTTTATTTTGTTATAGACCAACTCTAGGAAACTTGAACATTCTCCCTTGCAGTGGTGTTGCTCCAGAACTGCAAGGTTTAAAGTGTTAATAAACCCACAACAGTAATATCAGTCTGTATATGCAGTAAAGCATGCTTGTTATACTCACTGTGGAACTGTTGGAACCTAAGGGGTTAATCCTCTGCATTGTATAAAAAGGCTGTTTGATCCCTTCTCTGCCCCTCCTCTTGTTCAAATGTCCACTCTGATAAGACAGGCTGAACCTGTAGCCCTTCTGCACATGCTCAGTTTAGTGTGTACTGCTAGAGAGGATTTTTTATTTGGGAGAGTGCATGTGTTCAGCACAGGGCCAATCGGCACTGGTCAGATAGAGCTCAGGGGTTTTGCATCCTCCAGAAAGAAAACTCCTCCTACAAGCTTTAACCAGTGCTCTGCTGAAGTCACAAGACTGCTATATACTGCTGATGAGAAAAGGTATTTAGCAGTTTATATTTACTAAAATAATTGCACTTCCATGGTGTGTGTACTGTGGGAGACCAGATATAGTGAATGCAGGGTCCTGGGTTTAGTAACACTTTAACTGATTGTTTAGATTAGGGGACACAGAAAAGAAGATTTAGTTACCTGATCCACTACTCCTCCATGCTGCTAGACTGGTCTCTGCAGCATCCTCACCTCCCCATGCTCTGGTGGTCTAAGGTACTGGTGTCATCAATACTGATGCAGGGTCCATAGTCCTGTACTGGACACCATGACACCAAGGGACAGTCCACTAATGGAGCATGGGGGAAAACTGTCTTCCGGGGGAGTGGAGGATTGGGTAAGTACGTGTCTTTTACTCCTCCCTAAATAAACAAGTAGTCCACTGCAAGGGAGAATTTTCAGATTTCCTGGAGCCAATTTCCAGGTACAGATTTTATGGTATAGTTACATTGGTCAAGATTGGACAAGATGGAGAGGCATTAAGGCGAATTAAACAACCACTGAGCTTAGTATTTATGGTGCCTAAGTATGTTAAAGCAAAAATCCCTAGCTTATTTACTAAGCTACGTGAATCTTTACTTTGCAGATCTTTAGTAACCAACCCCATTTGTGATTGTGTACATTGGGTTTTTGCCTTCAGACCTTCACAACCACTGGGCCAGGGTTGTGTAAAGAGGCCCTTGCCCTCAACCTCTTCTGGCTACCCAGGCTACATTCTCAGATAAGGGTCTGGTATGGATTTTGTGGGGAGACATCAAGTTTTTCTTTTTGCGTGAGGTTCCTGTTAAAGATTCATATCAGACTCAAAGAGTCTGGTATAGACTTTTTTGGGGACCCTGTGTTTTCGTTTTCTGGGGGTACAGGTCTAAATCACCATATGGGTTCAAATTAGATTTAGAACCCAAGACACACTAAAGTTTTTTATTTTTATTTTTTGGTTGGTCCAGATCTAAAGGGCCTGGTACGAATTTTTTTTGGGGTATAGGGACCTCACACTTTTTTTCAACACATCCTAATTTGTTTAGATTCACCTGTGAGTTGGAGATCCCCAGCTGACAGATGAATGTGTCCAGTGGGAGTGAGGTTGTTAGAATGCTGGCTGGTGTCAACTTTCTAACAACCAGGAGAAAGCTGCCACATTTAGCAGTGATAATACCACCACTGCTAAATGTCTCCCTTCACACTGCATCTACAGGTTCATTCAGATGAACACTCATTTATTTGGCTGTTTGCACTGGAATCTCCACATATGTACTCCACATAGGTGTCCTTTTATTATGCAGTGGTAAATGACCTCTGCTCAGTTCTCCGGCATTCTCAGAGGAGAGAGTTCTCCTCTGAATGCCTTTTTATGAAGCGGTGCAGATCGCTTCTCCTAATGAGGAGAAACGCGATCTACAAATGCTAGAAAATGGCTGCTGTTGCTGTAATCTCGCGAGATTACAATAAGAGATCAGTCAAACACCATTTACTAAGCAGCGGTAAATTATCGCTGCTTCGTTTGCGGTTCCCCCGATTCTCCACCTCTGGGCTGGAGAATCTGGAGGGAGAACACAGATCTCCAGTGAAGGGCTGACATTGCTGCTTCATACACTGGCCATCTGTGTGCTGAGATGATCAGCGAACATGTTCTCCACTGATCATCTCTGTTTCCTAAACCAATAATGATCTGAAATCAGCAACGATCCTTAGGATCGCCGCTGATCTCTGTTTCAAAAAAGGACACCATATTACAGAGAATGCCCTCATTAACCTCCTTAGCGGTTTTCCCGAGTGTAGCTCGGGGTAAAACTTCAATACCAAGAGCGGTAACCCCGAGCTACACTCGGGCTTACCATGCGGCGTGGCTCAGGGGGTCCCTGCAGCACTTACCTTGTCCTTCGCTCCCCCGCGATGTGTCCCCTGCAGTGTCCCCGGCCATCTCCTCCGGCCAATGCCGGCATCCGGCTTCCGTGTTCTGGTCCCTGTGACGTCGGGACGTACGGGCGCCGGGACCAGCGGGAAATTTGAAATTTGTAAAAAGTGTCATTTTTGCTGTCATTGCTGTTTCAATGCATTTCACATATATTTTGTCCCTACTGCTTTGTCCTGTGCCCTGCCTGCATTTTGAATGTTCTTTCTGCCTGGAAACTTAGAAAAGTCCATGGCGTCCAAAAAGCGTCCCTTTACGTCAAAAGCGGTTTTAGAACAGCGATAGTAAATCAGAACCACTTGCAGAATTGAGTGATAATGATTCGTGGGGAAATTCGTCATCAGACACTGAAAACGATTTTGCAACTTTGCTCAGCGATGTGCGAATTTGCCTCTGTATTTCAAATTTCAGTGTTTTTGGTTTGATTATATTATTGAATTAAATTTATTGTTATTATATTATTATTTTTTATGATTATTTATTAAATGATAACTTATGATTTCGTGTTTCAAGTTTTATCATACCCGGGATGTTTAATAGACTCGTTTGTACAGATTTCAGTGAGTTATTCCTAAAAATTACAGCCTACAATAAAAAACTACATATTTCCATGCAAAAAAAAATGGTACCGCTTTCAGCACAAAAAATCGGAAAGAATCATACCGCCGAGGAGGTTAATAGCACTGCTGGCTGAATGTTATTAGCCTATAGTGTCAGGCTGTTTCTTCTATTGATGAAGGTTAACTCTCCCAGTCGAATGTTCTTAACACTAGTTTTCTCTTGGGATTGAATGCTAGGGAATGTTACATTTTCCCAGTGAAAGGCAACAAGGAAACTATTAGTCCTCGTGCACACTTGACGTTTTTTACTGCTGCTGTTTTTGACGTTTGACGTTTTTTTCTACAGCCAATAAACTCCCCAGCATGTTATCCTATGTGTCCATGTACACATAGACTGTAATGAACATTTTTTGTCTGAAAAAAAACCCCAAACTAGTGGGTTTCTAGGGGTTTTTCAGCTGTAAAAATGCTAAAATGCCGGGAGATGCCAGAAAACAGTAAAACACAAAAAAAGCAGATAAACGCTATGCAAAAATGCTGAAAAACGCTGAAAAACTAGTGTTTTTAACACGGCTGTTATCATCAGTGTGAGGAAAGTGTGCATGAGGACTTGCATAAATTGTACAAACATTACAGGTATTGTTGAGACAATAGGAATGCTGGGACAATTATAAAGCAAATGTTTTTATAAATAGACTCCATAGCATTAAAAGACTACCACTTTACCCCTAACCAGGGGCGGACTGAAAATTCATGGGGCCCCCGGGCAATAGGGGATCATGGGGCCCCTGTGTCCTTGCCCAAACTCAAAAAAGCCTATGAAAAAGGTACCAGGGGCATCTCATGGGGCCCCCTACTGACCCCCGGGCCCTCGAGCAGTGCCTGAGTTTCCAAATGGTCAGTCCGCTCCTGCCCCTAACCTAACCCTTACGCTACCTATCACTTCTAACTTTCCCCTAACTGAACCTTAAAGATGAACTCCAGGAAAAGGAAAAAACCCTCCTTTGAAGTAAGGCTGCCCCTGCTCTGCAAGGGTAAATTCTTGGTACACACAGAATAAATGTAAAAAAAACTGAGGAGCTTGCGAGGAGCTCACTGTACTAAACTATGGGATGTTAATACAGTGGTCTCCACGCTGAGCTATTAACCTCTTGCCGACCGCGCAGCATGCATAGCCGAATGCGGCATCACCGCGGCCGGCTAGCCTGAGTGATCATATGTGTCCCCCATGAACGCGCTCTCTGCGTGCCCAGGGGGCGCGCACCCGGCGACTCCCGATCGCTGTTCCGCCCAGCTGATCACGTGATGTGGTGAAAGGCCGATCCCCACCGGCCCCCCGTGATCAGCGGTGTCCAATGACACGTTGATCACAGGGAAATGCAGTGTCCTCCTGCACTTTCCTCACGCTGTCAGATCGTGAGGAAAGTACTGCCCACCGGCAGTTGTCCCAGCAGATCGGCACCCATCAGGGCACTGTGATCAGTGCCCTGATGATCGGTGCCCAGCAGTGACACCCGCAAGTTGCGCCCAGCAGTGCCACCACACCCGTTGTGCCCCCACCTGTGCCCAGCAGTGCCCCCACCTGTGCCCAGCAGTGCACCCACCTGTGCCCCACTCTGCAGTGCCACCCACCTGTGCCCAGCAGTGCCACCCACCTGTGCCCACCAGTGCCACCCACCTGTGCCCACCAGTGCCACCCACCTGTGCCCACCCACCAGTGCTGCCCACCAGTGCCACCCACCAGTGCAGCCCAGCAGTGCTGCCAGTCAGTGCCACCAGTCAGTGCCCAGGGGTTGTGCCAGCCAGTGCCGCCAGTCAGTGCCCAGAAGTGATGCCAGTCAGTGCCGTCTATCAGTACCCATCATCAGTGTCACCTATCAGTGCCGCCTATCAGTGCTGCATATCAGTGCCGCCTATCCGTGACCCCTAATTAGTGCTGTCTATCAGTGCTGCCTATCCGTGCCACCTCATTAGTACTGCCTATCAGTGCCCTTTAGTGCTGCCTATCAGTGCCCATCAGTGCCGCCTATCAGTGCCCATCAGTGCCGCCTCATCAACGCAAATCAGTGAAGGAGAAAAAATACCTGTTTGAAAAATTTTATAAAAGAAACAAATAAACTTTCTTTTTTTTTTTTTTTTCAAATTTTTTGCACATTTTTAAATTTATAGCGCAAAAAGTAAAGTGCCCAGTGGCGATTAAATACCACCAAAAGAAAGCTCTATTTGTGAGAAAAAAATGATCAAAATTTCATATGGGTACAATGTTGCATGACCGCGCGCAATTGTCAATCAAAGTGCGGCAGCGCTGAAAGCTGAAAATTGGCCTGGTAAGGAAGGGGGTATAAGTGCCTGGTAGGCAAGTGGTTAATTTTTGACAGGGAGACTCCCCCCCCCCCCACCTGCAAAAACACAGCAGTCAGCGTTCGCAGCCATTTGCTGCAAGCTCTGATCGAATGCCGATCGGCTGCTGTTTTTCCAGCATGCCCGTTTGACAGAAGCTGGACATCAGGCTGGCTTCTGTTGGATAGGCTGCTGCACACACTGGCCGAATGTTGGCCACTTTTCCATTGAACTGGCCAATAACGGCCAACATTCGGCCTGTTTGAATCAGCCTTTAGGGAACAGGAAAAGCAGTTTCACTTACCTGACCATGATTCGGAGGTCTCAGGATCTCTGTCGTCTTCAAAACCAATGTAGGGTCCATAGACCAATTGTGGAATGTTGGGGAGTGCTGGCAGCAGCGAGAGCGGAGGTTGGGGTAAGTAAAACTGCATTTCCCATCCCTTAGACTCAATTAGCATTTAACTCTTGCAATGCATTAGCAGCCCCCCTGCACCTTTTAACTGAACCAGGGGCGGACTGACAACTCATGGGGCCCCCAGGCAATAGGGGATCATGGGGCCCCTGTGTCCTTGACCACACTCAAATCACACCCAAAAAAGCCTATAAAAGGTACCAGGGGCATTTCATGGGGCCCCCTACTGACCCCGGGCCCTCGGAAGTGCCCGAGTGCTCGAATGGTCAGTCCGCCCCTGAACTGGATTTTCACTTTAAACACCCTATTAACGCTTGAAGTGTATGTTTAGTCAAAAAAAAAATGTTTTTCTTAGTTTTGCATAAAGCTGGGAAGGATTAGAACCTTTGTAGGATTTTTATTGCTATCCAGGACTCTGTTAGTTAGATTTCCTCTCACTTACCGACATGGAAACAACAGTTTCCCCAGACAGGGAGTGAAGGAAATATCTCCAACAGCAACACAGACAGAAATAAAAATGCTTTTTAAAAAGTAGAATGGTGAGCGACCCGTCTGTGTTCTTGATGAAGATTTTCCATTGTTTTCTACCATCTGCTGTCACTAGGACAAATAGTGAAGAGAAACAATGAAGGTTTGGGGTGTTTGTTTTTAAATACTTATACATATATCTATATTATTATACAGCACTAACAGTTTTGCAGCGCTTTGCAAATGAAAATACATATACTATATATAAGTATATAATTTTTATATATGTAATTTTTTTCATCTGAAAGAAACTTCCCTCCATAACATTGAAAGGCTGAGCTACTCCTGGTGAGTCATTCTTTTCTCTGTACTTCACTGTATAAAGTGCTGCTTGAGCTATGGAATCTGTAAACATGCTTTAGCTAGACTGAGACACACATGTGAATGGAAGCCTGAAGCCTAAAGCTCCACCTGTTGGCCCAAAACGAGAATGCAAATTATTAATACTTATTATCTCATATTTAGATTTTTTTTTTAAAGCAGAATTAAACTCTCTCAACCAACATTAACTATTTTCATTCCTTATACTGTTAGTATTAATAAATAGATAGGAAGGTATAATATATTTACTTGCTTTTTAAACTTTTTTTTTTTTCAACATTTCTCCAGTTGCTTCCTGGTTTCTGGTCTAGGCCAGAATGATGTCATACATCCCAGATGTCTTCATGGGCATTTTTTTCTTTCATCTGGTGGAGGAGAGGAGGGGCTTTCTTGGCTAAACATGCCCGCTCTACATGCCTGAGCTAAGGGAAGATGGATTCCAGGAAGTAAATGTTAAATGTTTCATCTGCCCTTATTCCAGCCTTTCTTAACCAGGGTGCCCAGGCACCCTGGGGTGCCTTGACATTTCTTCAGGGGTGCCTTGGCAAAATGTCTAAAAATTGCTCAAAATTTGCATACAAACCAGCGGGTAGAACAATCCTGCCTTTTAGTTACACAAAGCCACAGGATTTCATTGTGCACCATTACAAGCTTTTAGCCACCAGCACAATCCTGACAAACAATGACATCATAGGTTAAGGAGGATGTCAGTTGCCTGCACAGCATCCTAGTTTGACCCTCCCCTCCCCCTCCCCATCAGCGCTGGGGTCATATTAGCTTAGTGATGGAGAAAAACTGAGGGAGAGGAGAAACACTGGAATATTAGTCAGTACCAGTGTGCAAAAGTATATTTGCTTTGGAAGAATAAATCCCTCTAATGGGTGTCATACATGTGTGGATGTTGCTGCGTTATATAAAACTATTAGAATGGTTTTTCACATTTTAGAATGGGGTGCCTCAAGACTGTCCATAATTGTAAAGGGTGCCTCAAGACTGTTCATAATTTTAAAGGGTGCCTCAGAACTGACCATATTTTTAAAGGGTGCCTTGACTGAAAAAAGGTTGAGAAACACTGCCTTATTCAATATGGCCACAGCTAGAAATGGACTGGTGCTTTTCACAGTGATTTCTCAACAATATAAAACATGGAGACATGGATGGATGGGTGATTTTGCTTTGAATATTAAAAATGAATTAAAAAGCATTTTTAATTTGTGATGTTCAAATAAATGAAAGTTCCACTTTCATTTATTTTTTTGGTTATAACTATAATTAAGAAAAAGATCTGTATGAAACTATTACACATTCTCATTAACATTGAACCTTAACACTAAACCATGGCCTAATAATCCCCTCTTAACCTCTAACTAAAACACAAACTTTTTACTTTAATCCTTCTGCTCAACCTGTAATACTAAGTCATTCAATGCCATACTCACTCTGTCATTGCAGAAACTACTGGTCCATCTTGCAGCACGGCCAGCACTGAAAGCTTCCTGTCCCTGCACCAAAACGTATGAGACGCTGGCTCTGAAACCGACTGATTCCACATATATGTTCTCCTGAAATTAAACTAGTCATGTCTCATGACAAGTTCCCTGTAAATCTGCACAAGGCATCTCTCTTGCTATTGCTCTATATAACGTCTTTTTCAATAAACGTAATACAGCTACATTTCATCTTTCAGTTTCGATCTCTCTGCAAGAACAACATTTGGTTTGAGATAAAACATCAAGACTTCTTTGATTATTTCAGAGTACTTTTATTTTGCAATCTGGGTCCATATCAAATATTTTGATCTTTTCTTCTATCAATGCAATTGCAGGCCTGTTACCTATCATCATTTAATGATTGTCGGGCACAGATACATTTTACAGTCAGCTCTGTTTCCAGGACTCAGGATATCCATGTGCCTGGTAGCCGGGTGGGTTGGTGGGTGTATGATGTTCTGCAGAGTCATCTGATGCCTGACATTAAGTGAGCTTGGTTATTGGAGGAATTGAAAGCACATGAAGCAATTCTGAAGCCAGTAAGTTTGTGATGAAAAAAATAATAAGAGTTATAAAATCAAAACTGAAATGTAACAAATGTTTAAAGCTGAAGTTAAAACTGCTTATATTGTGCCTTCCATGATCCCTTTCCCCCCATGGTCATTAAGAATAAAAAGAAAAACTTTCATTACATACCTTAATTTAGAAAAAGTGAGGTCATCACTGGGTCTAATTGTTTCTCTATGCAAGGCGGATTATGGTTGGTGGGAAAAGCCAGAAGAGTGCTGTACATAGCTTCTTGAAAACATCACAGAACTCTGTCTCAGAACTCCCCTCAACAGCCTTCAGTACTGATGCAAGCAGTTACATAGTTGGTAAGGTTTAATACAGACACCAGTCCAGTCCATCCTGTGTGGGTGTTGGTGTGTGAATTTATTAACCACTTACTGACCCACCACAGTATATTTGCTGCGGTGGGGTGGCACCTACAGGCACAATCATGTACATGAACGTCATTGCACCTACATGGGCTTAGGCTTTGAGCTGACCATGGATCATTAGCGGACTGACCATTTGGAAACTCAGGCACTGCCCGAGGGCCCGGGGTCAGTAGGGGGCCCCATGAGATGCCTCTGCTAGGCTTTTTTTTTTTTCATAGGCTTTTTTGAGTTTGGGCAAGGACACAGGGGCCCCATGATCCCCTATTGCCCGGGGGCCCCATGAGTTGTCAGTCTGCCCCTGCCATGGATCATTATGCAATCACATGATCACATTGTCAACAAAGCTCTTATGAATGAATCTCATTCATGACAGCTCGGTTTCCTATACTGGTGAACTTTGACTGGCCCACAGCTATCACATGGTTCCTGGGCCAGTCACAGCACCCTGTACCATGTGATTAGCTGTAACCAATCAAAGATCACTAATTATCAATCTGTCATTATTTATTTATTTACACAGTAGTTTACATGTATACAGTATATATATATTGCACATTCACATCAGTCCCTAACCCTCAAGGAGCATACAATTTAAGGTCCCTAACTCACATTCATACATACACATACTAGGGCCAATTTAGACAGGAACCTATTAACCTACTAGCATGTCTTTGGCATGTGGGAGGAAACCGGAGTAC